TGAATTATCTGCAAGTGAGTGTCTACCAAGTTGTTCAAATAAAAGCCCTGGGACAAAATTGGCCCCGCCAAAAGATGGGGGGGGGCATTGTTTTTTCCTTTGAGTGTATAGTAAAAACTTAAAAAATCTTCTTAGAGCTAGAGCTTAGATATTTATCATGAAACATCTTCAAATGGGTGTCTACCAAGTTTGTTCAAATAAAAGCCCCTGGGTTAAAATTGGCCCCGCCCTGGGGGGCCTATATACAGGTGAGCAATTTCAGGGCCATCATGGCTCTCTTGTTTTGAACTAGGGGAAGGAAATTGAAACCTACTTAGCAGAAATATTAACTATAATGAGATTATGTGAGAGAATGCAGGTTTGACCTTCCTCTGGTCAAGGTCACACTGACAAGTTTCATGAATGGTTCTCTTCCCACATTTAAAGATTACAAAATTTGTATATTGATTACTCAAACTTTCATTCAGATGTATATAGTCCTGCCTTTGCAATGCTTATGTTTTTAAACCTTAAAAAGAAAAGGATTTTAAAATGTTTTTCCCTTTCAAAATTAAAACAGATTTAGGACATTTTAACCCCCCCCCCCATTTTTCTTGTAGAAACAATGAAAGGTATTAGCTATATTTTCATACATATAAACATACAAATGTTGCAGAAATTTTGCTATTCATTCAAAGAAAATATGTTGACATATTTTACTTTATTTAAATAGTTCAAGAAAAATACAAATGTGAATGCTGAAAATCATTTTAAAATGGAATATATATTTCATGCACTCACAGATTTTGTGATTAATAATAATAACAACTTTATTTTAAGGTGTAATATTAAGATGATTCATCAATATGTCTTCAAGTTCCATTAAGTAGCTATACGCCAATTAATAATAAACAACAAATTCCTGTATGTAAAAATGTATTCCATGACATATATATTGCGACAAGGCATCATAACATTTGAACAAGATATTAAACATAATATATATATTATATGAATTATCTCATTGATACAGAGATTTTATTGACAAGCATAAATACAAAATGTTGATATCAAGATACCAAACTACTTCACTGTCACACATGAAATATAATGATTCTGACTAGGAAAATGTAGGATATTTGTGCATACATAGATAAAACGTGACGTCCCTAGTTAAAATTTTATTTATTCAATAAATTTTACATAAACAACATTTCCAAATATTGCACAACAAAGAAATTCAGACTGGATTGGAAAGCAAGTAAAACATACTGCGAATTAACTGATATTCTTGGGCATGAAATTTCGTGGTTTTATCATGGGTTCTTGAATTCGTGGATTTTCAATTCTTGTAAAAAAATAAAATAAATAACCTTATTTGCAAAGTAATCTTACACTAAATGGCCTCGCATTTTACTAACCGCATGCACATATCTTTAAGTATCACACAGCGCTTGTCAATAGATTTAATCCTTGCCTCTGGGCATTCATTACACAAAAATCGGCGGAAAAGCGCCAATGCATAAAGACATGGCAAGAAGTATTTGTTGGGATAAAATTTCGTTGGATCTTAAATTCGTGGATTGACTTACCCATGAAAACCCAGAAAATTTGTGCCCCACAAATAATAATGATTTTACAGTACTTAGTCTATGTCAATTTCTCTCCAATAAAGGTAAATTTTCAAAATAAAAGATACAAATATGTTGCAGAAAGATGTAAGTGTCTTGTACAATGAAGAATAAGATAATATTTGATTGTTAAATTATCATTATAGAGAGACTTATTTAGTAAGGTAACACCAGAGTACTTCTTACCCTAGTTAAAGGAACTCCACTGAGGTCCAATAGCCTACCTGGTATATTTAAATTTGAAACCAAGCAATAGTTGATACATACATATACACAGCATTAAATTGATAAACGATTTTTATGCGATTTTTTGGCCAATTTGAGTGAAAGGCGTTTAAACGGTTTTCATTTATTGGGACAATATGCACAATAAAATTGATTATTTCTGGAAAACGGAGTGAGCGAATGATCTGAAATTTTGTACATGAGTTATTGGTCCAAACATACATCTAGTTATACAAAAAATCTCGAAAAAATATTTTCGGTCCATTCACTTCAAAAAAACCTCAATAATAATCTACTTCTACATTAATGTATCAGTCTTTGTCAAAGTTTTTATTATTCCAATTAATTAACATTATTTTTGGTTAATATTGTTCAACTGACTGTAGAATATTGACATGATCATATTTTCATTCTTCAATTTTGTTTATTATGCACTAAGAATACACAAATATATAAAAGTACAAATTTTATCAACAATTATCTTATTGTGTTACATGTTAACACAAGTTCCCATTTAATGATTTGTTGTCTTTAAGATTATGTTATACATGAACTATGGAAATGAATTTATCTTTCAATTTGTACCATTTTGGTACTACTTTTACTTTTACTCTTAATGTAAAAACCACGTTTTTCCCTTTAAAACGTAAAAGGTTTGAATTAATGTAACTTGTACAAAGAATAAATTCTCTCAATATCAGTTTATTCTGTTCACCTGACAGTGAACTTTTAAGCTTTTCTTTCTGTCGCAGTAATTAATTCATGGTAAAACATATTATTTACAGTTGTATTAATTGTTTCAGTTCTACATATTCCGCCTAAATATCAATAAAATACATATGTACAAAGCATCGATACAGGTCGCAGATTATATTAAAATGTGAAAATATAGATCTAGTATATGAAGAAACATAGAGAACCTGAAAAAGAGTTAAAACAGGAAACATTTTAGTGATGGTTAATATAATGTAATAGTAGCTCTATACTGGAAACAATAAATAAAACCCTATTATTAAAAAAACTCAGCTGAACATTGATTGCCTAGAAATAAGATTGATCAAGCGTTAGTTAAACATCTCTATGTAAACTATTGTACAAATATATTTCCATTTCTAAGAAATCATTTTGAACATATTTATCCTTCCCTAATAACAGCTTTATGGGTAAAATAATTACAAACACATATACTACTCGTAGTTGAATTACGAATTTATCTAGAAGACAACACAATAGATACCGTATTGATCGATTTTTTTAGTTCACAGATTTTAGATGATTTAGTTCACAGATTGTACTACATTCTTTGATGTAATGAATAAAAGTCCTTTCCACATCTCATGTTTAACCTAATCTTGAAGATCACAATTCATCCTCGGAATCACTTTCATACATATTTGGATCTTTTTGTAGAGATTTATATTCACTACCACGATTGTTAATGTTTTTAGTTCGGCCATGACTTAATTCTTGTGTTGTGTCAACATAGACCCCTGCGCTCTGTGAAGATTGCATGAGTACTTTTGTTCTACGTGTATACTCTAGATCTCGTTCTCTGCAATACAAAGGATGCTATGACTTATCATGTACAGTAACTAATCTAACCCCTTTATAAAACTGCTTTATTTATTTTAGAGAGACAGTATACATATGTGTTAACGTTTTTAGCTCGACTATTCGAAGAATATGAGAGCTATTGTAGTCGCCCCGGCGTCGGCGTCAGCGTCCGCGTCGGCGTCTGCGTTGGTTAAAGTTTTTTGTAAAGTCAAATATCTCAATTATTACTTGAGATATTCAATTGAAACTTACAATACTTATCTATAGTAACAAGGTTCATCAGATTGACAAGTTGGATAACTCTGCCTACAATATTGACAGAATTATGCCCCTTTTTAACTTAGAAATTTTGGCTAAAGTTTTTTGTAAAGTCAAATATCTCAATGATTGCTTGAGATATTCAATTGAAACTTACAATACTTATTTATAGTAACAAGGTACATCAGATTGACAAATTATATAACTCTGCCTACAATATTGACAGAATTATGCCCCTTTTTAACTTAGAAATTTTGTTAAAGTTTTTTGTAAAGTCAAATATCTCAATTATTGCTTGAGATATTCAATTGAAACTTACAATACTTATTTATAGTAACAAGGTACATCAGATTGCCAAGTTGGATAACTCTGCCTACAATATTGACAGAATTATGCCCCTTTGGAACTTAGAAATTTTGGTTACAGTTTTTTTGTAAAGTCAAATATCTCAATGATTGCTTAAGATATTCAATTGAAATTTAAAATACTTTTTCATAGTAACGATGTACATCAGTTTGCAAAATTGCATAACTCTGCCTAAAATATTTGCAGAATTATTTGCCCTTTTGAAACTTAGAAATTTTGGTTAAAGATTAAAGGTCTTCAAAGATATTTACTTGAAACTTTACACATGCACTTAGGGTCATAATTGGAGGGTCATGATTGTATGTCACTGACCAAGTTCCATAACTCTATCTTGCATTAAGGCTGATTCATATCCCCTTTTCTACTTAGTCTCTTGGTTAATGTTTACATGCAAGTTTTACATATCTCAATAACTATTAAAGATATTTATTTAAAACTTCACATATGCATTTAGGGTCGTAATTGTAGGTCACTGACAAATCTATCATGCATTTAGGCTGATTTTTCTCCCCTTTTTCAACTTAGAAATTCATGGTAAAGTTTTGCTTGTAAGCTGTTATCTCAATAACTACTGAAGGGTTTGTGCCTTTTTTGGGACAATTTTATGCATTCATAATAATAAAGCAGTGATTTACTTGATAAAACATCTTAATAACAAGCCTTTGTACTTTCTGTCAAATTTATTTATTCATAGGTAATTAGTATTATTATACTCAATAAAACACCCTTGTGACATTACTGTATAATTAGACTCTCTCTTAGGCCTATAACATGAATTTATAAAAAAAAAATAGCCCTTTTGTGAACTTAAAAAATTTAACATTATCAAGGCTCTTTTACTATCAAGCACTTAGAATAGTCGAGCGTGCTGTCCTACCGACAGCTCTTGTTTATGTTCATAATACAATATAAGTTAATAAATAGTGAGATACTGTCAAGAAGCACCCAATACCATGTACTCATTTATCGAAGATTCTTTGTACATTTCAAAGCAACATGTTGGGTTCGCTAGTTCAATATCCTTTCATTTTTCAAAAATATTTGTTTGAAATTTATTTCTCAGTGTATCACGTGAGCAAACATTTAATAGCATTTCGATAGACATATAACACCAATAACACGGTGATAGGGCTTTTACCACAACTTTTCCGCGCAACGTCAAAATAGCATACTTCTGCCCGAGACACCGTATCTTTCTGGATGGCGGGCTTAAAAAAAGTCTAAATAGATAGATTTATTTCGGCATAAAGGTAAACATGTTACATGATAATCATGTCTAACTGAGATGCATATTTGAGCACCGCACAACACTGAATTCTAACACCGCATTTTTATTCCGTTTGACTGATAATAACTGGCATTGTTTTTTTATGCACCATACTTTTAAAGAAACTTACATATCTACTTACAAATATGTTTTATGTGAAGAAAGACTGATCACTTTCTTTTTTATTAATAAAATGTTATTTTATGGAAGACTTGAAGGTCGAAATCCAAAATACCAGTTAGATAAGTGCAATGGTCTCAATAGATTAGTAAGTTGATTTTTTTATATATTTTTTTCGAATTTCTTCAAATGTATAAACCCCACATGTAAATATCTCTCGTCGATCGACGTTACTGGAAAAAAAGAAAAGAAAATAAATGCAGTGATTTAAGGACGAATAATGCGGTGTCCACATTTTACTATTGTTCAAGTTGTACGGTGCCTAGAGTATGCACGTGGAAACATGAAAATCATACCATATATACAAAAAACAGGTTATCAAAATGGTGTAACTTGTTCAAACGATAATAATGTACATATCTATATTGCATTTCGATGAGTTATATGAACTAAACGTACTAGAAAGTTTTAAATTTCGCAATCAAAGCAATATTTTCACAGTATGCCCCAACTGTTTTCACTATCTTGACTTAGATAGTGAAGCATTTTGCATGTAGTAAAGAGAAATAAGCTTCACATTAAATGACACATTGGATGAAATGAAAAATTCGATGATTTTACATTGTTTTGGGCAAATTATCATCTGTTTTCTTGTCGTATGCAGTCTTGACACAGAAAGATACGGTGTCTCGGTCAGAAGTATGGTATTTTGACGTTGCGCGGAAAAGTTGTGGTAAACGCCTTATCACCGTGAATAAAGGGAATGTGCCTGTAAATGAGATATATGACATTGACAACAGCGACAGATGGTGTTGAGAATATAATCAAAGATAGCTAGCTATACGAACCTTTTCTTCCTAATATACATGACACATGCAAATGTTATGAAACCTACTGAAATAAGAACCCCAAACACTGCACCTGCTATTGCACCTGTAAATAAATAAGTAAACTTACCAGAAAATACAATATCAGCACTTTCGATTGTTATTTGTTTAATGAGTATTCGACGTAATAGTTAACTATCATTTTATTGGACTCATTAGTTGTCACCTTCTTATACTTTATCCTCACTGTTAAATAGGGAGGATAAAATGTGGAAAGTTCTATCTATTGCACAATTTTTAGACTAAGTAAACATGACGTAAGATGTATAAAATTTCACATAAGCATAAAGTAGCATACCAGTCAAATAGGAAACGTGTACACAATGGGAAACAGGAGAAGCAACTTCGTTAAATTTTGCCTCTTTAATGTATACACTGTATTATATACACTTAACATTTTAGGTTTGGTATCTAGTCGATGCAAAATAATAATACATTAATGAGCCGCGTCACGACAAAACCAACATAATGGGTTTGCGACTAGCATGGATTCTGACCAGACTGCGCGGATGCGCAGGCTGGTCTGGATCCATGCTGGTCGCAAACCCATTATGTTGATTTTGTCGTGACGGCTCATTTTATTTCACACTATAATGTACTTGCAGCATGATGTTCAAATAGGAATCATTATTGGATTCAATCATTGCGCATCGGTCTAATGTTTCACCCCATTCACCCCAAACTGATAGCGAACAGCATGGATCCTGATCAGACTGCGCGGATGCGCAGGCTGGTCTGGATCCATGCTGGTCGCAAACCCATTATGTTGGTTTTGTCGTGACGGCTCATTTTATTTCACACTATAATGTACTTGCAGCATGATGTTCAAATAGGAATCATTATTGGATTCAATCATTGCGCATCGGTCTAATGTTTCACCCCATTCACTTAAAGGTTTAATTAATTAACCCATTAATTCATATTCATCCCTGCCCTTCTGGGCCGCAAAAGGTTAAATAAATACAATTTTAGTCCCAAAACACTTGTTTTCGTTTGAGAAATGTTTAAAAAAAGTTATCACTTTTCCGGCGCCGTCACCTATCTAAAAGATACATCAGGGGGTGACAGAGAGGGGGTGGGGGAGGTTATGTGTTTTCTGCTTAAGGGTTTGAAGGGGGCATCAGCCCCGCCAAGATTTTGGACTTGTGAGCGGCTAAAATTGACCTCAGATCAATAAAATGGTAACGTGTAACCAACGCTGAAAAGCCTTTGACTGTATCTCAATCCATTGAGTGGTTGCAGCACTTTAAAATCAGTTGTGATGTAAAGAATCAACGCAAAATAGTGTTTTTGGCAATTTTGAGATGTCCCCCTGTTGCCATGGTAACAGGAAATGTGAGATTGAGCGTACCGGTCCAGTCAACATTTGTGCCAAGTTTGATGAATATCGAAGCATTTTATAGTTTCATAGCAATTTGAACTTAACATTTGGCTTTTCAATGAAAACAGCCATTTTTCATAAAATGCTCATGCAGTAATATGGCATAAAGGTGTATCGGGGTCATTTCCATTTCCGAGTTTAAAATACCCATATCGAATGCATATCACACTTCATAATTTTATATAGCTTCGTTTTCATTTTAGCGTCTAAATGCATATCGTATCCCATACAGCCTCGTAATCCAAAATATCTATATCAAATGCTTATCGTGCTCCATCTAGCCTCGATCATTTCCAGTTTAAGGTCCCAAAATTTATATCAATCATATTAATTCCTAATCTTACTTTAAGTAACAAAGTTCTGTCAAAATGTCAAAAAATGTGGAATAAAGAGGTCATTGTTGAGTAACAATACTGGTTCTATTGGACTCGTACACAGCTACAAAACCTATACCCGACTCGGTTAGCGTCTCGTGCAATATAGATTTGACAATTGTGTACTCGTCCAATCGAATCAGTATTGACATCGCATTGTAACCATATAAGAAACAAGAAATATCTTTAAAAAAGATAATCGGCGTAAATTCAGTGCAAAATGTCTCATAGCTTTAGAATATTGTCAAAATTAATGATATTTATACTTTATAACAATAAAAATGTCTAAAGTGAAATATATTTGGTGGTTACTAGTATAATCTATGAGAGTTGTCTAAACTTAGCTGAAACATGTATGCTCCTATAATGTCAACAAATTAGTCATGTTATTATAGAAGCTTTTTTGTCACCGTGACTTTTGACTCCTGATTTCAAAGTCAATACCAGATAATAACATTTTGGGCGGGGGTTGTAGAGGGGTATGAGGTGGATGTACTAGTTAAGCCTACTGGCTTTGCTACGTGTCGTACACCTACACAGATTATATTTTACAATGTACTTAAAATGTGGAATGTAAAATATAAATGTTGTTCCATATATACAGAAATATATCTATTTATCTTATAATAAGTACTAAACTCAATTTTCTATAACCCATCAATGACACTGATTATCAAGTGAGACAGTTTCAGATTGAGGTAGTCAATTGGGGTGTATTTCGGTAAATTCACTTACCGGGTGTACATGTAAACAAACGCCGAATAACTATGAATAAATTAATTTGTTATTATTACGCACAAAAAATAGTACTTAAAGTTTTGCGATTCTTTATGATAATGTTGCATTTTAAATATATTAATTTTCGCAATTCATATCAGCTCTGGAGAATCTTTTTGTTGATCAAAAATATCGTTCAATTTCATAGAAAACAGAAAAGCTACGGCAAATAAAGTATGAGTGAGTAGTAATCGAATGTTCAAGTAAAGGCTGAAAAACAAAAAGTTGGGTTTGTTGTTAATATTATCAACAAAACAAATTGTACATGAAATCATATGTACTGTATATTTTTGTATTTTGATATATCTTTGTTTTGGTCATAACGTTGTTATATTTAGTTTACGATTGTATAAATATTTTTAATACAACTTTATTCTTAGAGACAAGTAAACTAAAGATTACGAATTTGTCCTTAAATTTCATAACAGCCAGTCTTTCCACCAATGAAAAACACCCTCTTTTAGCTGAAGATTTTGTAACTAACAATTTCATTTGTTACAAATCTAGGTCAAAATCCATTTTAATACAGCTGCGCCGAAAAAAACAATATGCGGGGAAATTAATTATCTATTGTTCATAAACTCCACTGAGGTAAACATAAAAGTTTCATTGTTAAGATCAGCTAGGGCACTTAAAACAGAAATATATGCAAAAGATAGTTAAAAAATATACCCAGAAATAAATTGAAAGGCGTATTTTGTGCGCTTCTTAGCTCGATTCAAGTGAAAAGCGTTGCTTGAAAAAACGCTTTTCAATTTTGGGTCATTTAACACTATTAAATATAATATTCTGGAAAAACGGAGTGAGAGAACGATATGGAATTTTGCACACGAGTTATTGGTCTGGATCTACATCAAACTGAAAAATTATATTCAGTCCCGTCATGTCAAAAAACCTTTTTTTCACGACTGTGAAATAACAGAAAAGAGGCCAATTAGCTAGCATCGTAAATGTTATAACAATATTTGAAAGTCCGCACAAATCCCTTACCTGCCTCGGCCTTTACCGGATCAAAGTCGTTACCTGGCAGCTCTGTAGGCTGTGTGGTGTTAACATGATCTAAAATTATAAATACCATAAATATACATTCAAAATAGTAGACTTACCGTATATTAGTTTGTTATCTTGATAACTACATAAATACAAAATAAGTGTGACAAAAATAAACCACTTCATTGTAACATTACTTATTCCCTAGCTCCTATAAACGGACGCAAGATGTCCGAAAACACGCCCCTTTATCAATTTTTACAGCATTTCTTCATAAAACAATGTTCACTTAGAACTGTATAAATTAATATATATGTACATAAACAAATACCAGGTATGTTTTTATAATCCATGTCTGAAACCATGTAGAACACTGGTTTTAATGTTACTATATATAGAATTTATAGCTGTTATCTAATGTCTTAAATTCACTACCCTCTTCCTGTTACAACAGGACTTCGATAACAGTTACATACTTACACCGTAGTACATACATGTATATACTTAGTTACTACATGTAAAATGAGATCATATGTATGAATAAATGCATCTTTAATCAGCTGATTAATGTATTATTAAGAAAATGCACACTCGGTTAATATTTAAGTTTAATTTTACTAACGAGTACAATAGCGTAAATCGAATAATCAGTATTTGATTAAGAAAACTACAGTTATATTATATAGTTCCTGTGTTATGTGCTACATGTATATAGATATCTAGGCGTACATTACAATTAAATGTTTTAACCTGCGCAACATAAAAAAAGAAAAAACTGATTTTCTCAAGATAACTTAATATACTCGTATAATAGAACGTTTTTATGAATAACTGTTTTACATGTTCCCTTAAATAAAATGTTACATAATTGCAATATAACTTTGCCTTGAAAACATGATGTATCGTGCTATATGTGGGGAGAGGTGATATTACTGGATATTACACCCGTCCTTTTTGCATTATTTGAAGATCAACATTTGTTTTTGTAGATTTTTATATCAGTGATGAACAATGGGTTCTTTTACCTTAGCGGTTTGATGTATCCAGTTCAATAAGAAAACCTATTTTATCTGAGAGGTTCACGTACAGTAGACTATAACAATGGTATATAGAGTGAGAAACAGATAATTAGGTTCTCTACTGTTTTTTATAAATGGTAATTTCTGTCTGTTCGAACTGTTCAAAACATTAATAATAAAACAGAACAGAACATATACTTTATTTCTGACCATCATCATAACATACATATACAGGTATATATATTACAATGCACGTATCAAGAAATAATGTCATAATAGATTCAATATTATATTCACATATATAAACTATATGCAAAACATGACATAGTTAAAACAAGTTGATTGAGAATATCAAAATATAAATTTCTACATTTATAATATCATATTGATATGCTAATGTACCAAGTTGTCCCGTCTTTCAAACGCTTAAATACAAAATATTGCTTATTTTCTAATAACCAATTTTCTTTCTGCGTTTAACAATTGTAATTGCAATTGTAAACTTTAGGATTTACAATAAAGAATCTTGATATGTACATACTTTTGAAATCGCTATAAATTGGACATATCAATATAAAATGAAATTCGTCCTCTGTGTCCCCGGACATACATAATGCTCATTTTCTTTGACTTCTTCCAATACCCCATGTGTCTTCCAGATTAAATATGTCATTTAGGGCAACTTAAATCTTATTTTTGCAAGTACTGATCTGTGTTTTGCATTTTCTAATAAACTAAGATACATAGACCTTTCATATTTAACTTTAATATTTAATACACTTGCAAGGAAGAGCATGACGCCATGTCAGCTCGCCATTGGGTAACATAATATATATCTTTGAGAAGTGATCAGAATATTGTATACAATTTTTAATATTAACCGATTCTGAGAATAACCTAACTTCGGCGTTTTTGAAATTGTCCCGAACTTTTGATGACCAATTGACAACATTTGAGTTATTTGATAGATCATTTCTTTGAGAACTTAGAATAGTTGTTAAAATGCAGTTTTGACTCTTATCGCCTTGTAACTTTATCCAATATTTTGCTATCCTTACATATCTTTCAATATACCTAGTTCAGAATAGAGTATTTGTTTATATTTATTATTCAAAACATTTACAAATTTTTTTTGCTCACATTTGATATTTTCTGATTTATTAAAGCACCATACTTCACAATTATAATACAAAATAGATAAAGCATATAAGTATCGAATAAATTGATCATTATTTCTATAGATATATCTAACTCTTTTGTACTTATAGGTAAAGTGTTCATTGCCCTTAAGCATTTTCCACTATGGGTATTCGTTGCTGGTACATAAGGTAAGAAAGTAAGTAAGAGCAAATGAACCGTAACTAGAAAATACATACATTCCTAAATTAAGTCATTATGCCATAGAAATGAATTTATTCTTCTTTCTCAAAAGCTTTTTATGTTATTTATAATAAATTCCGTGCAAAAAGTAACTCATTGCCCAACTACCTGAACCATCTTTTTCTTCTGTCACTTTTAGCAATTGATACATTTATATAGTGATTTTGCATAGAAGTGTGATATACTTTGTTCGGATGACAAATTATATCACATTTAACTATACTTTCTTCAGGTAACAAGTATTTAACATGCTATAAAACATTGTTTATATTTTCTAAAACTCATATGTGCTATTTTAAAAAGAAGTAAAAATGCATTCGTTTTCTGAACATTAAGGTACGAAGTAAACTAAATTGTTGCTTACGTGTTTTGGTAGTTCTATGCTCAAACAGAAATCCGTAACAAACTGAATACAAAACACTTAGATATATAAATACATCAATGAGAGACATATTTATAATCTAAAAGTCAAATATCTTCAGCTTCTGAATACATGATGGTTAGTAATTTTATATCAGATTCAACCTGATAGTGATAATAAAAGTAAACACTGTACAATTAGATAATAAAGGGGGCATAGTCAAAAGGGATAATTCAGAAAACAAATATGGTCGAATCGGCGTTGACTTTAATTTATAAATTACAAAAAATGAAACGATCTAGTATCCAACATTAGTTAAGTACTTTAGTTATTCTTGCTTCGACAATTAGTTAAACAGAAACACTGGGACTAATAAGAAACTCGGACTTGATTGTAAGCCTCTTAAATTAATTAACAGTGCCAGTCCAGGCTCATACTGACAACTCTGCCGAGACACAGACACTTCTAAAGGGTGTTGAGCTCAAAACGCTTTTCGAACGTATCTTATATGTTTTTATAATCCATGTTTGAAACCAATTCAACACTGGTTTTAATGTTACCATAATTATGTAGGATTTTGGTTTTATCTAATATCTTAATTCACTACCCTTTTCTTGTTCGATAACAAATACATATTTACACTGCAGTACATATACTTAGTTATTACAAGTAAAATGAGAACATATGTATGCGTGAAACTGTGTGAATAAATGCATCTTTAATCAGTTGGTTAATTTATTATAAAGAAAATGCACACTCGGTTAACATTTAAGTTTAATTTTACTTACGAGTACAATAGCGTAAATCGAATAATCAGTACTAAAGTTTTATTATATAGTTCCTGTGTTATGTGCTATATAGATATATAGGCGTGCATTACAACAAAAATGTTTTTAGCTGCGCAAAATAAAAACAGAAAAACTTATTTTCTCAAGATAACTAAATATTAATTCGTATAATAGAACATTTTTGTGAATAACTGTTTGACACGTTCCCTTAAATGAAATGTTACACAATTTTCAACATAAATTTGCCATATTGTGCTATATATGGGGAGAGATGATATATAAGTTGGATATTACACTCGTCCACATTGCATTATTTGAAGATCGACATTTGTTTTTTTTTAGATTTTATATCAGTCAGTTCAAGAAAACCCATTTAATTTGGGAGGTTCAGTACAGTAGACTTTGACAATGGTATATAGACTGAAAACTTTGAGAAAAGGAAAGATAATTTGGTTCTCTGCTGTTTTTGTAAATGCTAATTTCTGTCTCTTCAAACTTTTCAAAATGTTAATAGAACATGCAAAACGTACAGACCATATACTTTATTTCTGACTAGGACTCAACATCCATCATCATAACATACATATGCATGTATATATATTACAATTCACGTACCAAGAAATAATGTCATATTATAATAGATTCAATATTATATTCATAATTCGTTTTTTAAAACACCACGTATGTGACCGAGACTTTTTAACACATTTTATTGAGATTTGACCGTTTATTACATTTTCGGGTTGTATTACAATTCAGGTTGACACCCTAAATGTAATAATATTTTTGCATCCTAACCAATTTTGTAATAATTTATTACAATTCCGGTTTTTAACCAGGTTTTCCGAAGGAAAAAACTGGTTATTAGATTGAGGTATGTCGGCGGGCGGGCGGGCGGATGGGCGGACGGGCGGGCGGGCGTAAACAATTTCTTCTGTGCGCAACTCCTCCTACATTTCTCAACAGATTTTGACCAAACTTTCACAGAAGCTTTGTCATCAAGTGCCCTGGCGCATATTGTCGGGGTTTTTTGCGATTAGATAATATTTGACCTAATTATGGCCCTTTGTTTTTTTTCATTATATAGAATATATAGTGAACAATTTCTTCTGTGCGCAACTCCTCCTACATTTCTCAACGGATTTTGACCAAACTTTCACAGAAGCTTTGTCATCAAGTGCCCTGACACATATTGTCAGGGTTTTGCAATTGGTATATATTTGACCTAATTATGGCCCTTTGTTTTTTTTTCATTATATAGAATATATAGTGAACAATTTCTTCTGTGCGCAACTCCTCCTACATTTCTCAACGGATTTTGACCAAACTTTCACAGTAGCTTTGTCATCAAGTGCCCTGGCGCATAGTGTCGGGGTTTTGCGATTAGATAATATTTGACCTAATTATGGCCCTTTGTTTTTTTTCCTTATATAGAATATATAGTGAACAATTTCTACAGTGCGCAACTTCTCCTACATTTCTCAACGGATTTTGACCAAACTTTCACAGAAGCTTTGTCATCAAGTGCCCTGGCGCATATTGTCAGGGTTTTGTGATTGGATAATATTTGACCTTATTATGGCCCTTTGTTTTTTTTCCTTATACAGAATTGAACAAATTCTCCTGTGCTGAACTCTTCCTACATTTCTCAACGGATTTTGTTCAAACTTTCACAGAAGCCTTGTCATCAAGTGCCCTAGAACATATTGTCGGGGTTTTGTGAGTGGATAATTTTTTACCTAATTATGGACCTTTGTTTTTTTTCCTTATACAGAATATATATAGTGAACACTTCTTCTGTGCGCAATTCCTCCTACATTATTCATGTTTTACATTGCACATAGTTACATTGTTTGTTGCTTGTATTTGTATTTCAAATACAACATATTTATCTACAATGGTGATAATTGAAAACCTGGTTTCATGGCATTGC